GTTGTTATTGTTGTGTTGTTGAGGTTTTTGTTTATTGTTTTTTTTATGAGTGTTATTACCGTAGTTTTTTATTGTTATTGTTATTGTAGTTACTTTGTGCTGTTATCGCTATTTTTTCAGCGGCATTATTGTTGGGGCGATTTTATCTTTATTTTTCGTTATCGTAATCCTCCTCCTCCTCCTCCTCTCCTCCTCTCTTCTAGTCGCCTCTCCTCTTCTCTCATCCAATTCTCCTCTTCCTCTCCTCTCCTCTCCTCTCCTCTCCTCTCCTCTCCTCTCTCTCCTCTCTCCTCTTCCTCTTCTCTCTCTCCTCTCTTCTTCTCCTCTCCTCTCTTCTCTCTCTTCCTCTCTCTCCTCTCCTCTCCTCTTCCTCTCCTCTCCCTCTCCTTCCCCCCCCTGCCCTCCGCCCTCGAGCGTGTACCTAAACCGAGGCCGTCGCCGCTCATGAACTGACTTTGAACTTGTTTACGTGTCCGTCGCCGCGATCTGACGGTGATGTAGTGTGTGGACGGCATTTTTTTTTTTTTTGTTCATCCTTTGGCTCGTAAAAAAAAGCGTTGCCGTGGAATGCGGTGTGTGTACAAAGGCTCTGGCGTGCGCTTGTGTTCACGCACTTGCACATGGAGGTGGGCTTATATGCATACGCGCATGTATGTACAGGCAAGTATTCTTGTATACACGTATGCATGCAGGTATGCATACACACACATGTATACGCGCAACGGATGCACGCACACTCGTGCACGCATACTCACTCACTCAACTCACTCACTCACTCACTCACTCACTCACTCACTCACTCACTCACTCACTTCACTCACTCACACACACACACACACACACACACACACACACACACACACACACACACACACACACACACACACACACACACACACACACACACACACACACACACACACACACACACACACACACACACACACACACGCATGAGCGTGTTTGTGGGGCGGACTAGGCCGGGAAGGGGAAGAGGCCGTGTTGAGCCGTGGGCGTGAAGAGGCTCGATGAGGATGACGTAGACATGGGCGTAGGTGAGGATTGTCTTGTAACGTGTGTTTGTCTGCGTGTCTGTTTCTTTGCGTGTAGTGCATGTGCGTTTTGTTTGCATCTGTTTCTGTACGTACATGTGCGTTTTGTTTACGTCTGTTTCTGTATGTACATGTGCGTTTTGTTTACGTCTGTTTCTGTACGTATATGTGTTTTGTTTGCAGCTGTTGTACGTGTGTTTTGTTTGCATATGTTTGTGTGTTTTGGTTACGTCTGTTTATTTCGTACATGTGTGTTTTTGCGTCTGTTTCTGTACGTACATGTGTGTATTGTCTCCGTCTGTTTATTACGTACACGTGTGTTTTGTTTACATCTGTTTCTGTTCGTTCATGTGATTTTTGTCAACGTGTGCTTCTGTACGTACGTGTTTTGTTTACGCACGTCTCTGTACGTGTATGTATCTGTTGTGTACATCTGCTTCTGTAATGTGCACGCATGTTTTGTCTGCGTCCTTTTGTACGTACATGGTTTTTTTGTGTACATCTATTTCTGTAGGTACATTTTTTTTTTTTTTTTTTTATTGTCTACGTCCGTTACTGTACGTACATGTGTGATTTGCCTACGTTTAGTTTGTGTAATGTACGACATATATGAATGTGTGTCTTGTGTACATCTATTTCTGTGTTTTGTGTTTTTTCATTATTACTCACACATACACAAAACACACACGAAAGACAAAAAAAGTATTACATACCCCCCTCCCCCTCCCTCCCCCCCCTTTCCTTCACAGCTGCAGCGTGTGCGTGGGCGAGGTGCACATTTCTTGGAAAGGGCATGTTCAAGTGTTCAACCAGGCCGGTGTTCAGATGGCGATGTCGTTTTACGGAGGGTTCGGTTCCGAGAGCGCGTGTTCAGTGTCAAAGAGTTTATGGTGCCGGTGTCTTGAACGAGGGCGGGATCTGGGCAGTATTTGCAAGGTTGTAAAGGGTTGGATTTCGGATGTTCACGCGTGTTCGCCGCTGGCGTGAAAGAGAGGGAGAGAGGGTGGAGAGAAAGGGAGAAAGAGATGGGGAGGGGAAGAAAGGAGGGGGAGGAGAGAAAGGGAGAGAGATGAGAGGAATTGGGGAGAGGGAGAAAGAGAGGGGAGGGAAGAGAAGGAGAGAAAGGAGAAAGAGATGGGATGGAAGAAAGGAAGAGAGGGAGGAGAGAAAGGGAGAAAGAGATTGGGAGGGGAAGGAAAGGAAGAGAGAAAAGAGGGAGGAGAGAAAGGGAGAAAGATATTGGAGACGGAAGGAAAGGAAGAGAGGAAAAGAGGGAGGAGAGAAAGGGAATAAGAGATTGGGAGGGAAGGAAAGGAAAAGAGGGAGGCAAGAAAGGGAGAAAGAAGTGGGAGATGAAGGAGGAGAGAAAGGGAGAAAAGATTGGAAAGGAGAAAGAAGAGATTGGGGATGGGAAGGAAAAAGTGGAGAGAGAGGAGGAGAGAAAGGGAGAAGGAGACTGGAAAGGGAAAGGGAAGGAAAGGAAGAGAGGAAGAGATTAGGGATGGGAAGGAAAAAAAATTGGGGAGGGAAAGAGAGAAAGAGAGGAAGAGGGGAAGGAAAGAAAGGGAAGGCGAGTTTGGGGAGGGAAAAAGAGGAAGAAATAGATGAGAGATGGGGAGATAGAGATTGGAGAGGTAGAGGAAAAATGGGGGAGGGAAAGGGAGAAAAAGAGGGAGGGAAAGGGAGAAAGAGAGGAGGGAAAGGGAGAAGAGAAGAGAGAATGGGGAGGGAGGGAGGAATTCTTACAAAAATGGAGTAACAAGCAAGAAAGGAAATAAATCTCATTTTTTATAATCTAAACACACACTCATTCACTCACTCACTCACTCACTCACTCACTCAACTCTACACTCACTCACTCACTCACTCACTCACTCACTCACTCACTCACACATTCAACACACACACACACACACACACACCACACACACACACACACACACACACACACACACACACACACACACAACACACACACACACACACACCACAGTAAAGAAAGAAACACTTGTTTTTTTTTTCCTCGTCTGTGGTTTCGCAAGAACCTCTTGTCGAGCGATATTTTAGTGTCATGGGTTGTCACGCGGCCGAGTGTATTGATGCATGTGGCGCCCATTTTTCACGTGGGGGGGGGGGGGGGGGGGCGAAGGATGCTCTGGCTTCGTTTTTTTTTTTTTTTTTCTTTTTCTTTTTTCTTTTCTTTTCTTTCATTTTTCTTTTCTTTTCTTGTTTCCTTCATCTTTCTCGTTTTTTTCTTGTTTTTCCGTTGATCCGCGTTCAGGTTCTCCACTAATCCTCTTCATGTTTTTTTAACTCTTTACTTTCTTTTTGTTACTTTTGTGTCGGTCTTCCTCCCTCCTCCTCCGCTCTTTTATTCCTCCTCCTCCTGCTCTTCCTCTTTCTCCTCCTCCTCCTCCCTTTCTCTCCCCTCCTCCTCATCATCATCATCCCTCCCCTTCCTCCTATTCTCTTGAACTCCCCATCCCATTCACCCCTTCCTACCCACCCGCCCGATCCCTCCCATCCATTTCCTCCTCCCCCGCATCCCATCCTTACCCCATAATTCCTCCTCCATCCATTCTTCCCTCCCCACACCCCAGATCCTACACCATTCCCCATCCTTTCCTCCTATCAATCACCCCACTCCTCCCCTCCCCATCCAATTCTCCCCCAGCATCCCGACCTCACACGACCGGCAGCCCTTGCCCCCCTCCCCGAGCTGCGACGCCTTCGCGAGAAAGATCCCCTTGGCGGCCACTGGACCCACCGGGTCCCGGCCCGGGGGGAGGGAGGGGGGAGGGGGGAGGAGCGGGGCGAGCGGTGGGCGGGCTGGGCGTTCTTAATTACTCTCTCGCGCGTCGCGCGTCCAACTCACGCGCTTGAGTAGGGCGTGGGCGGGGTGAGGGGGGGGTGTTGGGTGAATGGAGCGGACGGGTGTGGCAGATGAACACAGTGAAGGAGCGATGTAGGAGAGTATGTTGAGGTACTAAACAGAGAATGTGTTGGAAACAAGGTTGGGGAGTTTAATTTCGTGCGTGGGGTGTGTTGGGGGGGGGGGGTATGGTATATACCTATCCGACTATGATGAGATCGAGGAGCGAGAGGAGGGAGAAGAGGAAGAGCAGCAGCGAGGGAGGAAGAAGACCACGACAACAAATGCATCACAAAAAAATAAAAAGGGCGGGAGGTACAGTGCATGGAAAGCATAGTGCATGTCTAAGGTACAGTACTTGCCACTTACACAGACCATGCCACAGGGGTACATTACACGCCATTGATACAGACCACGTCCCATCGATATGATACATACACACAGGGATACAGTATACATTACGCAAGGGTAGATTCGGCCCACGCACACGCGCGCGGCACGCCACAGAGGGGTCTTCAGGGACGGAGGAAATGGTCATGCGCGCCGCGTGTCAGGAAAGTCAGACTGTCATGGGGTAATTATTCAGGCTGGGCACCTCAGTCGGCTAGACCTGGTGTCGCCTTGGGGGTGGGGGGGGGGGGGGTTTCCGGCTCGCTTTTTCGTTGCTTTGGTTCTTTGGTTGAAGTGTTGTTGTTCTTGTTTCTAAGGACGTCTGTGTTTTTTTTTTTTTTTTTCTTCTTCTTCCGTTTGTCCTGTTTTCGGGGATTGTTTTTTATCTTTTTTTTTATCTCTCTGATTCGCTATTATTTTTTTGGAGTTGTTGTTAGTTTAGTCTTTTCTTCTTTTTTCGTGAAACTTTTGCCTCTTTTTTTTTTTTTACTTTTGCTTTACTTAATCTCTTCCGCTAATTCTTTAACTTTTTCTTTTTTTCTTCTATATATTTTTTGCTTCCCTTCCTATCTCTCTCTTTCGTTAATTCCGCGATTCCTCTTCCTCCAGTGTTTATTTCCCCCCCTTCAATTCTTCACCTTTTTTTCCCGTCGAATTCTCCGGCCCCCACGTGGTCGCTCGGGTGATTAGAATCGACCTCCCTGATTCGTCTTGCCCGGGCTTGATTCGGCTTGAATTCGGCTTGCCCGGGCTTGATTCGGCTTGATTCGTCTTGCCCGGGCTTGATTCGGCTTGCCCGGGCTTGGGCTTGATTCGCTTTTGATTCCCGGGCTTGATTCGGCTTGCCCGGGCTTGATTCGGCTTGCCCGGGCTTGATTCGGCTTGCCCGGGCTTGATTCGCTTGCCCGGGCTTGAGGCTTGCCGGCTGATTCGGCTTGCCCGGGCTTGAATTCGGCTTGCCCGGCTTGATTCGGCTTCGTCTTGCCCGGGGCTTGATTCGTCTTGCCCGGGCTTGATTCGTCTTGCGGGCTTGATTCGTCTTGCCCGGGCTTGAATTCGCTTGCCCTTGATTCGGCTTGATTCGTCTTGCCCGGGCTTGATTCGTCTTGCCGGGCTTGATTCGGCTTGTCCGGCTTGATTCGGCTTGATTCGCTTGCCGGCTTGATTCGCTTGATTCGTCTTGCCCGGGCTTGATTCGGCTTGATTCGTCTTGCCCGGCTTGAATTCGGCTTGATTCGTCTTGCCGGCTTGATTCGGCTTGAATTCGTCTTGCCCCGGGCTTGATTCGGCTTGATTTCGTCTTGCCCGGGCTTGATTCGGCTTGATTCGTCTTGCCCGGCTTGCGGCTTGGGGCTTGATTCGGCCCGGCTTGATTCGGCATGATTCGTCTTGCCCGGGCTTGATTCGGCTTGCCCGGCTTGATTCGGCTTGATTCGTCTTGCCCGGGCTTGATTCGTTTTGCCCGGGCTTGATTCGGCTTGATTCGTCTTGCCCGGGCTTGATTCGGCTTGATTCGTCTTGCCCGGGCTTGATTCGGCTTGCCCGGGCTGATTCGATGATTCGTCTTGCCCGGGCTTGATTCCTTGCCCGGGCTTGATTTCGGCTTGATTCGTCCTTGCCGGCTTGATTCGGCTTGATTCGTTGCCCGGGCTTGATTCGGCATGATTCGTCTTGCCCGGGCTTGTTCGGCTTGATGTCGTCCTTGCCCGGGCTTGATTCGGCTTGATTCGATTTGCCCGGGCGATTCGGCATGATTCCGTCTTGCCCGGGCTTGATTCGGCTTGCTTGATTCGGCTGATTCGTCCTTGCCCGGGGCTTGATTCGGCTTGATTCGTCTTGCCCGGCTTGATTCGGCTTTCCGGGCTTGATTCGTTGCCCGGCTTGATTCGGCTTGATTCGGCATGATTCGTCTTTGCCCGGGCTTGATTCGGCTTGATTCGTTCTTCGGGCTTTGATCGGCTTGCCCGGGCTTGCCGGGCTTGATTCGTCTTGCCCGGCTTGATTCGGCTTGCCCGGGCTTGATTCGGCTTGATCGGCTTGATTCGTCGTCTGATTCGCTTGCCCGGGCTTGATTCGGCTTGCCCGGGCTTGAATTCGGCTTGAATTCCCTTGATTCGTTTTTGCCCGGGCTTGATTCGGCTTGATCGTCCCGGGCTTGATTCGGCTTGATTCGTCTTGCCCGGGCTTGATTCGGCTTGATTCGATTCGGCTTGCTTGCCCCCGGGCTTGATTCGGCTTTCGTCTTGCCCGGGCTTGATTCGTTGATTCGTTTGCCCGGGCTTGATTCGGCTTGATTCGCTTGCCCGGGCTTGATTCGGCCCCGGGCTTTGATTCGTCTTGCCCGGGCTTGATTCGGCTTGATTCGTCTTGCCCGGGCTTGATTCGGCAATTCGTGATTCGTCTTGCCCGGGCTTTGATTTCGGCTTTTGATTCGTTTTGCCCGGGCTTGATTCGGCTTGATTCCCGGGCTTGATTCGCTTGCCCGGGCTTGATTCGTCTTTTGATTCGGCCCGGGCTTGATTCGTTTTTGCCCGGGCTTGATTCGTCTTGCTTGATTCGGCTTGATTCGTCTTGCCGGGCTTGATTCGGCTTGATTCGTCTTGCCGGGCTTGATTGGCCCGGGCTTGATTCGTCTTGCCCGGGGCTTGATTCGTTTGATTCGTTTTGCCACGGCTTGATTCGTCTTGCCCGGGCTTGATTCCGCTTGCCGGGCTTGATTCGCGGCTCGATCGGCTTGATTCGTCTGCCCGGCTTGATTCGGCTTGTTCGTTTTGCCCGGGCTTGATTCGTCTTGCCCGGGCTTGATTCATTCGGCTTGATTCGTCTTGCCCGGGCTTGATTCGGCTTGCCCGGGCTTGATTCGGCTTGAATTCGTCTTGCCCGGGCTTGATTCGGGATTCGGCTTTCGTCTTGCCCGGGCTTGATTCGGCTATTCGGCTTGATTCGTCTTGCCCGGGGCTTGATTCGAATTCGGCTTGATTCGGCTCGATTTCTTGGGGCTTGATTCGGCTTGATTCGGCTTGGGGCTTGATTCGTCTTGCCCGGGCTTGATTCGGCTTGATTCGGCTTGATGACCGGGTTGATTTCGTGGCTTGGTTCGCCGGCTCGACTCGGCTGACTGGTTGATTGGTTGATTGGTGAGCGCGGCGGTGATTTGGGGAGGGTTTGATTGACAGACCCGACGGGCAAGGGTTGTCGTGATTGTGAGGAGGACGAGCGAGAGGGAGGGGGGGGGAGGGAAGGGAAGTGATGGGGTGGGTGGGAGATAGAGGAAGGAGGAGGGGGTAGAGGAAGGGGGAAGGGGGGGGTAGAGGAAGGGGGATAGGGGGTAAAGGGAAGGAGGTCTAGAAAGGGGAAGGAGATCGAGGAAGGGGGTAAGGGGGTAGAGGAGGGGAAAGGAGATCGAGGAAAGGGGTAAGGGGGGTAGAGAAAGGGGGAAAGGGGGTAGTGTAGGGGGAGGAGGTCGAGGAGAGAAAAGAAGGAAGGGGAGGGGGTAGAGGAGAGGAAAGGGGAGAGGGGGACGGGGGTGAGGTAGAGGAAGGGGAAGAAGGTAGGGGAAAGAGGAAAGGTAGAGGAGGGGGGGTAGAGGAAGGGGGAAGTGCCAATGGGGAGGGGGATTCGGATGAGAATATAGAGGAGGGGGCGAGGGAGAGTACGAGGGAGGAGTGGACGAAGGAGGGTTAGGGGGATTCATAGAGGGATTGCGAGGGGAGGGGAAGGAGGTAATAGAGGGGAAGTGAAATTTAGGGGGGGGGGAGAATAAGGGGAAATGGGAAGTTAAAGGGAGAAGTGAGAAATTAGAGGGGAGAGGTAAAGAAGGAGGCTAAGATGAGGAAGGGGGGGGATTTAGGGGGAAAGAGGGAGAGGAGGGGGGGGCGAAGGACAGGATGAGGTGGTGGGGGGGGGGTGAGGGTAAAGGACCTTAAAAGGTTAAGGTCTTTGCCGGTTGAGTAAGAGGGTTTAGTTGTTTCTTGTCTTCGTTTTTTTTTTTTTTTTTTTTTTTTTTTTTTTTTTTCGTGGTATCGAGGAGTTGTATGACGAGGAACTTTTTGGCTTGGCCTTGAAATCGGGAGGGGGAGGGGGAGGAGAGGGGAGGAGGGGGAAGGGGGAAAGGGGGAGGAAATGGGGGTTGGGGGAGGAGGGGAAGAGAATGGGGTTGGGGGGGGGGGGAGGGAAATGGGGGTTGGGGGAGGAGGGGGAGGGGGGAGGGGTTGGGAGGTTGGAGAGTGGGGGAATGGGGGTTGGGGAGGAGGAATGGTGGTTAGGGAGGTTGGAGAGTGGGGGTTGATGGGGAAGGGAGGGGAGGAGGAATGGGGGTTAGGGAGGTTGGAGAGTGGGGGTTGATGGGGAAGGGAGGGGGGTTGTATGGGGGAGGTGGAGGATGAAGGGAGGGGTTGTGTCGAGGGGGGGGGGAAGGGGGAGGGGGTGGAGTGGTTGCCGAAGGGAGGAGGGAAAGAGGGGCTGATGAGGGGTTCTATGGGTTAGGTGGGGGGGGGAGGAAGGGAGGGGTTGCATCGGGTGGGGGAGGGGGAAGGAAGGGGAATAGTATGGTGAGGTGAAAGAGGGGAGAGGGGGTAGATGGGGGAGGGGGTTCTATGAGGGAGGAGGGGGGAGAAGGAAGGGGTTGTCTTCGTGGGGGAGAAGGTTGAATAAGGAGCTGTAAGGGGAGAGGGCAGGTGAGGAAGAAGGGTTAGGGAGTGGAGGGAGAAGGAGAAAAAGAAGGGAGAATGAGGCTGGAAAGGGAAGGGAAGGGAGGAGGGAAGAAGGGTTGTATAAGCGAGATAGGGAGTGGAGGGAGAAGGAGAAAAAGAAGGGAGAATGAGGATGGAAGGGGAGGGAAGGGAGGAGGGAAGACGGATCATCCCAGCGGACGGAGCCATGCAGGGTCAGCGAGGAGGGCGTGGAGAGGCAGTGAGGAAAGGGTTAAGAAAAGCCGGAGGAATCGGAGGGAAAATGACCCTTTTGTACAGAAAGTCATCACTGATATTGAAAATGTGAATTCAAGAACATTTATGTAATCAGTATTGTTGTACGAGAGACAGACAGACAAACAAGCAAACAAACAGACTGACTGACTGACAGACAGACAGACAGACAGACAGACACAGACAGACAGACAGACAGACAAACAACAAACAAACAAACAAACAAACAAAACAAGAGAGAGAGAGAGAGAGAGAGAGAGAGAGAGAGAGAGAGAGAGAGAGAGAGAGAGAGAGAGAGAGAGAGAGGAGAAGAGAGAGAGAGAGAGAGAGAGAGAGAGAGAGGAGAGAAAGAGAGACAGAGAGTAGAGAGTAGAAGAGAGTAGAGAGTAGAAGAGAGTAGAGAGTAGAAGAGAGTAGAGAGTAGAAGAGAGTAGAGAGAAGAGAGAGAAAGGAGAAAGAGAGAAAGAGAGTGAGAGAAAGAAAGAGAAAGAGAGAAAGAGAGAAAGAGAGAGAGAAAGAGAAGAGAGAGAGAGAGAGAGAGAGAGAGAGAGAGAGAGAGAGTAGAGAGAGAGAGAGAGAGAGAGAGAATATGTGTATGTGTATGATGTATGTATGTCTGTGTGTGTGTTTGTGTACGCGTGTATTTGTATTTGTGAATAAGGTCGTAAGGAGAAAAAGAAGCAGGGAGGGGTCGTAGAGGGAAGAGGGAAGGGGAGGGGGGTGGGGTGAAGGGCATACGGTACGTGTTTTAGTGGGGATGG